TCTTGTAAAACTTGGGGTCCTTAAACAACTTTGAATTTTGTGTATGGTGTGAAATATGGATCAATTTTCAATATTGCATGTGGCATCCGGTTTTCCCAGCACCATTTGTTGAATAAGTTTTTCTTGCTCCATGTGACACAACAAGCTCCTTGGCTATAGGTTAATTGTCCAGAGATCTGAGGATTTATCTCTGGGCTCTCAATTCTAAACCATTTTCTTACTACAACACTATCCATACTACAACGTTGTGCTGTTTTGATTACTATAGCTTTCTACTACAAAGTCAGGAAATGTGCTACTTCAGCTTATTTTCTCTATGAATGGCACTGACTATTTTGGGAGTTCATGCAATACTTTATTTTTTTAGTCCACGAATTCTTGAAACTAATGGTTACCTGAATAAATTAAAAATATGAACAGAGATCCCCAAGAAACAAGCATAAAGTTCTTTTTTCTAGGGCCATATCAGCAGTATTGGGAGTTAAGGGTGGGTCTGATGGCTCAGCTTCCAAGGCCCAGCATTACTCAGGACCAGAAGTACTGGGGACCATCAGAACCACAGCTGGTGGTGACCAAAGATAGAACTCAGGATCTCACACAGTCCTAGGAGATTTTATTCCTTTGAGATTTTATCCCTTTGAGCTATGTCTTCGGCCCTCTAAAGGTCAAATTTTTTTTTTTATAATTTATTTATTTATTGAATCACTGTGGGAAAAGTTACAGAGCTTTCGGGTTTAGGTCTCAGTCATGTAGATACCAAACACATTTCCCTTTACCAATACTCATTTTTAACCCCGAACCCCAATAGACCCCCACCTCCCACCCCTCCCAATTCTTTGTGAGGCAGATGAGTTCTAGTTAATACTCTATCTACTTTGACTAGATAGATTATTTCGATAGAAGATGCACAATTATTGTTTAGAGTTTACGACCCCCCCCCCCCCCCCCAATCAGACATGCTGAAACAGCGTTGTGGAATGATTTGCTTTCTACAACTTGGTTTAAGAATAAAATGATGTCGCGCGGCCGCAATAGCGGCCGCGCGGTTTTAAATTTCTGCTATTTTACTTATTGACCCTGGAAGAATTTCTATTAAAAGTTAGCTAGTTAATAGATTGGTTTCTGTGCCCTGGAGTCGTGGCCGTGCCGGAGAGCCGCTCGTGGGGGGCAGCTGGCGACCTCGGTGGGCGTGGGGGACGGCCCACAAAGCCCCCCTTCCCATGTGGTCCCCACCGCTCCCCCGAGCCCGGCTCAAACCCGCTTTCCACAAGGCTCCTGTGCGGCCGCCATCTTTCTTTCCAGAGAGGAGCGGGCGGGCCGGTCAACGCCCTTCCCCCTCCGGGCAGGCTTGGTGGCGCGGATCAACACAAGTCCATTTGCTTTTCTGCTCCAAGCGGCTGGTTCTCTGTGCTAAGTCCTTGTGCCTCCGGGGCCGTGGCCGTGCCGGAGAGCCGCTCGTGGGGGGCAGCTGGCGACCTCGGTGGGGCGTGGGGGACGGCCCACAAAGCCCCCCTTCCCATGAGGTCCCCGCCGCTCCCCCGAGCCCGGCTCAAACCCGTCTAAAGGTCAAATTTAATAATCAAAGCTTTCTTTTCCAAACACAAATAAAAGAAGATCAACACAAACCCAAATAACAGCAGAAATCAATGAAATAAATAAACAATAGAGAAAATCAGTTAAACAATTAACTGGTTCTTTGAAAATTTCATTAATTTGAGTAACAACAGACAAAAATAAAACAAAATCAAAAGAAAATATCATTGCATTGATAAACTTTTTTCATGATTGTGACTGGCAAAGGTAAAAGAATAAAAAGGCATTAATTTTAATATGAGAAATAAGAGAGTGGTTACAACCAAAAACCCTGTCGCTATTAAAAGAATCAAACAAACACTGTCCTCCCGTTGTTCATCGATATGCTTGAGTGGGCCCACTAACATCTCCATTGTGAGACTTCTTGTTACTGTATTTGGCATATTGAATACTCTTGGTAGCTAGCCAGGCTCTCCAAGAGGGGCAGAGGAATCGAACCTGGCTTGGTCAGGCTGGCTGCGCACAAGGCAAACACCCTACCGTAAGTAAGAAACAGTGTGAATAGGTCTGTGTACACTTGACAAGAGACAAGCTACCAATTCTTGACTACTAAAACTTTCCCTAGATGAAATAATGAAACTAAGCATGAAACTATAAAAAACTGGATTAAAATAGTTAAACAGTTGAAAGAAATGTCTAAAGAAAGAAAAAGAAATGACTGCAAGTCACACCCAGTGTAACAAAAAAGGAAATCTCAGACACATGAACTGGAAAGGAAAAAGTAAAACTGCCTCCATCTGCAAATGGCACTATTATCTCTGTACCCCACTGGCAGTATCTGGGAAGAAACTAGCACTTTCTTGTTTGTGAAGGTTACTTTCTGGAGTTATATTTTATCACTTGGATAAAATCTTCTGAAAACAAATGAAAGAAATGTCTTAGGTTGCTATAACAGCACTAAAGAAACAAAACAGGAAGGAGAAACACCCAGACCAGTCTTGGAAGAAATACATGAGTTAAAGACTTGTTCAGACAGTTCTTTCCACAACACTTCCTTGGAATATCCTTACCACTTTTGCTTTAGAAAATCTCAGCTATTATAGTACTGAAATGCCCTAGCCCTTGACTCAGTTCCTCAAGTGTTTGCCAGGGAAGATCTCAAGAGCTAATTTTCTGTGGTCCTAGATCTTGATCTGTGACAAGCTCTTATTCCAGAAGGTCCACTGTTTAGCACAGGACTTCTCAACTGTACTTTCTGTGCAGAACAAAACAATTTCCAGCCTGGTAAGTTTCAGTCAGAGACTAGGATATGGATGAATAGAGGACAGAGCACGCATGCTTAGAAATAAAAATGTCCAACGTGTTTTGTTATAAAACTAGATTTTGTGTATGCATAATTTGATCTAAATGAAAGGTAAAAATTCTTGCCATTCTTAAAAAAAGAGAGCTTATAAAAGCATGTAAAAGCTAAGGAAAACAAATTTTTATTGTTAACTAATTCTTAAAATACAAAATAAATTTTAGAAGTTAATTGTCAGTGTAAAGTCTAATAATGGCTTTTGTCACTGATCTCTACTGATTGTGTTGCTCTAACCCTACATATGAGATGTAACAAACCCTGAAACTATTGGAACTAATGGAACTATTCCATTCATCTTCTCTACTGCTGTTCCTTAATATTTTTCCTTTCAAAATTTGTAAATTTCTCCTCACCTCATCTTCCTTCTCCCTTATTTCTCTTCTGCTAAGCTTACTTTTCTATTATCAAAACTCATTGGTTTTTCCTCTTTTGTTTTGTGTATTATCAACTTTGTACCTACATTGTACATGTAGGTGAAATCATCAATACTTTAAATTTATTTTTGACTTATTTGGCTTTACACAATTCTCATAAACTCCTGTTTGTTGCAGGTAACATCATTTTATTTTTATTTTTATTTATTTATTTATTATTATTAGTGAAACACCATGAGGTACAGTTGTAGATTTACAATTTTTTGTGCTTGGGTTTCGATTATACAATGATCAAGTACCCATCCCTCCACCAGTGCCCATTTTCCACCACCATGGATAATATCCCTCCCACCCCCATCCCCCAATCCCACCCTGCCTCTGTAGCAGGGCAATCCCTTGTGTTCTCTCTCTCCTTTTGGGTGTTGTAGTCTGCAAAAGAGGCATTGAGTGGCAAACATGTTCAGTCCATAGTCTACTTTCAACATGTATCTCCCCTCCTGGGAGGATCCTCCAAACACCCTTCATTTGGTGCTCCCTTCTCTATCTGAGCTGCCCTTTCGCCTAGAATGCCCAGCTGGCCTCTAAGCTATGGAGTAATCCTCCTGGTGCTGTTCTCAGCTATTCTTGGGTATTAATCTCATATTTTGTTACTTTATATCCCCCAGATGAATGCAATCTTTCTATGTCTATCCTTCTCTTTCTGACTCATTTCACTTAGCATGATACTTTCCATGTTGTACAACTTGTATGTAAATTTCATGATTTCATCTTTTCTAACAGCTATATAGTACTCCATTGTGTAGATGTACCAAAGTTTCTTTAACCAGTCATCTGTTCTTGGGCATTCAGGTTTCTTCCAGTTTCTGGCTATTATAAAGAGTGCTGCAATGAACAAACAAGTGCAGATGTCACTTCGACTATACATTTTTGCCTCTCTGGGATATATTCCCAGGAGTGGTATTGCTGGGTCAAATGGGAGCTCAATTTCTAATTTTTTGAGAATCGTCCATACTGTTTTCCAGAAGGGCTGAACCAGTGGACATTCCCACCAACAGTGAAGGAGTGTCCCTTTCTCGCCACATCCGCGCCAGCACCGGTTGCTTTTGTTCTTTAGAATGTGGGTCAGACTCTGAGGTGTGAGATGGTATCTCATTGTGGTTTTGATCTGCATCTCCCTGATGATTAATGATGTAGAGCATTTTCTCATGTGCTTTTTTGCCATTCGGATTTCTTCTTTGATAAAGTTTCTGTATATTCCTGGGGCCAGAGAGAGAGATGGCTAAGGTTCTAACTTTGCGTGTAGCCTACCCAGTTAGATCCCCAGCATTTGATCTCAGACATTCATAGTTGGGAGTGATTCCTATGTACAGAGCCAGGAATAATCCTTGAGCATAAGCAATCCTGAACCAAAAAACAGTATATTCATCCCAATATTTGTTGTAGTTTATATGTAAAGCTAAAATATGGAAGCAAAGTGCTGTTGAAAGATGATTTGATAAAATGTTTACTTTTTTAAAAAATAAAATAAGGGTTTTCTCCCCTGACCTGCGCGGGACGGGAACTGAGGCCTCCCTCTTGGCAACAAAGCTGAACATCTCCGGGTACTCTCTCCTCATTCCAACCAGGTACAGCCCGCCCCCAGGGCCTGGGACTCTCTCTGGGCATGTGCAGCTAGCTCCATCTCCTAGAACAGCTGGTTTTCTCCCGTAATCTGCGCAGGACAGAAACTGAGGCCTCCCTCTCGGCAACAAAGCTGAACATCTCCGGGTAGTCTCTCCTCATTCCAACCAGGTACAGTCCGGTGCCCAGCGCCAGGGACCCTTTCCAGAGCCGCAGCCGCTAATGAAATACTCTCCCACTACATATGCCATAGGTACCATAAGCTACCCTCTTAGATGGAATCTTCTCTATTTTAGCTCAGCCACTAGAAACACAGTAGCCAATAACTCATAAGCCTATCTCAACTCACACTGCATATCAAGCAGAATAGTAACAGTGAACATGAAGGACTAAACCACACTTGTCACAATGGTGAAGCAACGCAAAAGCCCGCCAAATTTTCTTATTGAAGAGTCTAGCCCAGAAGACACCAACAGTACTGTAGTGTTAATGCTTTAGTTATATAAGACTGTTACTTTGCTTTCATGTTTTATAATTCTTTTTTCTAATTGCTATCATGCTTCGTTGTATTCTACTATCACATTTTCAAATTAGCTTTGAAGACATTGGCAATTTCCTGTTTACCCTTATATTCCTCTTTTGTATTTTTTTAACTTGGCTATTTTTTAGGTTTTTAAAACTTTTTTGAAGCTTTTAAATAGTTTTTATATTTTTGCTATAAATTTTATCTGACTTGTGCAGTGTTTTTATAGAACATTATTTTAAGTGTTTTAAACATTTTTTAAGGCAGGCAACTCAGTAGAAAAGTCTGGTACCTTTTTACATTTAGTGCTCCCTTGGCAGTTACTAGGGCATAAATCTGAGTTTCCAGTGTTCTGGAAGGACCACTTCTCTAGAGGAAAACCTTCCTCCTTCCCCCTCAGATTATGGTATTCCTCTCAAAGAAATTTGTTCTTACATGGATGAATGCAATCAATATTGCAACACTCTTAACTAGATATTTGTTTCTGCTTGTCTATAGTCTATTTAAACACAGAAACTAAAGATATCTTTTCAAGATGTGCATGACATGCTTTTGACAATCCTGTTTTTGTTCAATGTCACTTTTCAGTGAAGGCTTTCCCTTAAAACTGCAAAAAATCCCCATCATGATTAGTGTCCCTTTTAGCAACAATTCAACCTTTCCTCTGATCTTTGAAGATAGTATTGCACAACTTGTTAAGATGTATATTAAGGGATTGCCCTGCCACAGAGACGGGGGGATGGGGGGATGGGGGTGGGAGGGATATTATCCATGGTGGTGGAAAATGGGCACTGGTGGAGGGATGGGTATCTGATCATTGTATAATTGAAACCAAAGCACAAAAAATTGTAAATCTACAACTTTAAAAAAATAAAATAAAATAAAGGGGAAAAAAAAAAAAGTGTTGACCGTACGTTTCTTCTCTGACATACTTGCCCTTTGTATTCACACTCCTTCTGTTAGCAACATGGTGGTCCTCTTTGATGATGCGGTAAAGCGTTTACTGAGACAGGTGGGGAAAGAAGATCTGAAACCAGTTACCGATCTAAAAAGCGCTAAGAAATTCCATCACTTCAATGTGTTACGGAAAAAGAAGAATGGATTCTCATCATTTTGGAACCCGCCTGACATTCCTGCTGGATTCTCCCTCCTGGACATCCTGGACCAAAGTACTCCAGTCCCAGGTATTGTCAGTTAGCAACAAGGAAGGCTAGAGCTGAAAATGCAGCTGCTCAAGTAAAGGAGGGATAGCATGCAAGGTGAAACTCACCCACACAGGTCAACAATAGGCTCAGCCTTGATGAAAGATGAGAAATAAAGATCTAAGACTGATAATTTAACAATCATGTGAATCTAGATTCATATGACTTAGTTCATTACAACACCTCAAATGAGAATTTATTTACACAAGAATAAAACGAAGCATAGGAAATAACAGTTCCAAGTTATACACATGGGAGCTAGTAGAACTAGGATCCACACCAGGTCTGCCCAGTCATGATTTCCATTTTCTACTTTATGTTCTGTCAACTGGGTCTGTCTTCTGGTACCTGCCACAGAGATGGCATGGATCTCCTAAACTATCAAGTTTTAGGACACTTTCCCTGTTACCCAGCCCTTCGTGGATTCAAACATATATCTCAATCAATAAATTTGATTTAGTTGGTTAGTTAATTTCCTTACTGAAAAATTTGAATCATGGTTCTTAACCCCCAATTGTAGACCATTTTTAGCCTGCAGATGTAGAAAGGTTGAAAACCAGTGGTTATAACTGCTGGTCTGTGGACTGCTATATAGACAGGCTTTGAATCTCAAATTAAAAGAGATTGAAGAATGTGACTGAAATCTGAAGGCGGGTTGGTGCAAGTTAATTTTAAATTATTCCATTACCTCATTATTATTATTACCTTATTATTCCATAAGTTAATTTCTAAATGATTCCATTACCATTGCTATGCCAGCTGACTCATAGCTTATCTTGGATAAATATATGGTTAATTTTTCTTTATGCAGATCCTTCCAGAGAAGGCCCATTCATCTACAAAGACAATATGGTCTGGAAAGGAGAGGGTGATGTGACTATTGATGCAGGATTTGGGGCAGAAATGGCCGCATCAGGGGGAACTAACAAGTCATATGAATCCATCCTCAAGTTTCAGATTAATGAGATCACAACAAAAACCTGGACGGACCTTTGTTCAAGGTAAGACTGTCATAAAAAAAAAAACCCAGAAAGTTGGTTTGCAAAATACGCATCCTTTAGGATAAAGAGGCATTGTTCAGCCTTGATAGACGCAGCATAGAAATGGGGAAAAATGTCATTCTAGATTAATTTGTTCTCTGTGTGATAGCACCACGGGTAGGGCGTTTGCCTTCCAAGGCCAACATGGTCGACCTGAGTTCCATTCCTCCGCCTCTCAGAGAGCTGGGCAAGCTACCGAGAGTATCTCGCCTGCATGGTAAAGCCTGGCAAGCTACCCGTGAGGTACTCGATTTGCCAAACGCAGTAACAATTGTCACAGTGGAGACGTTACTGGGTCCGCTCAAGCAAATTGATGAACAATGGGAGGATAGTGACAGTGACATTGACAGTGTTTGTTTCATTATAATTACTAGCTGTATTTGAAGAATAACAGAAATTAGTGGGGCTGGTGGGGTGGGTGTTAGAAGAAAATGATCATTAAAAACATAGTCAACTTTGAAACTTGGGATTTACCATTCCTTTACTTGATGGGATGCCCTCCTTTCTTTTTCTTCGCTATCTCTTCTCATATATTCTAAGTAAAACAATGTTTTATGCACAAAATGAAATTAACAAAGTACTAATATGAGAAGAAATCTAATTCATTGTTTGTGTGAATTCTATATTAGCATCTGGGGTTAATTTTTTTTAAAGATTATTTTTTAACCTGATGTCATCCCATAAGTACATTGAAAACTTCCTGCAAAGGGCTGAAAGCCAGTCACAGATTGCACACAGGAACAAAGGGCTAGAGGCCTAATGGGATATGGTTAAAGAAGACCATTGTTTCCTCCTATAACCACTTTGTATTGCTTCTGTAACAATGCTTGCTTTGCTGAGCTTGTGTGAACTTAACAGGTGCCAGGATGTGGACCCTGGTGGGCAAAAAAGTTTTTCAGGTGCTTACAAAAGTGCTCAGGGCACTAGGATAAGGATTTTAATAAAAGGCCAGTTCTTCTGCAGTAAGGCTGCTGCCCTTGCTTGGAGGTAGGAAATATACACTGGTGGAGGGATAGATGTTGGAACATTGGAACATTGTATGACTGAAATCTGATCATGAACAGCTTTGTAACTGTGAATCTCATTGGGATTCAATTTAAAAATGTAAGAGACAAAAAATATAACCCCAAAATTAATGAATCCATAGTTCAGGTTGCACTGTGTTCTATTTTGTCCTGGCCTAGGACAAGCCCTCTGACATTATGGTTTGAAATACAGACAGACAGATACTCGAATTACTCGAATTTCTAATTTTGGTCTCTTATGGTCTTCTGGTAACACCTCCACAATAGCACCACATGTGATTCCTCATGTACTGAAGCACAGAGCCAGGAATAGCCCCTGAACAACATAAATGTTGCCCCAAACCAAATCAAACCAAAATAGAACACAGTGCAACCTGAACTATGGATTCATTAATTTTGGGGTTATATTTTTTGTCTCTTACATTTTTAAATTGAATCCCAATGAGATTCACAGTTACAAAGCTGTTCATGATCAGATTTCAGTCATACAATGTTCCAACATCCATCCCTCCACCAGTGCATATTTCCTACCTCCAATGTCCCCAGTTTCCCTCCCCACTTCTCTCTCTCTCTCTCTCTCTCTCTCTCTCTCTCTCTCTCTCTCTTCTTTTTGACATTATGGTTTGAAATACAGACAGATACCAAGAGGTTATCATGTTTGTTTCTTCACCTGCTTTCAGCACAGAGTTCTTATCTAAAGTGATCATTTCCAACTAACTTTGTCATAGTTTGAATTGGGTTAGGTCATTCCTCTCATCTCCCCCCCCCCCCCCCCCCGTGACTGCTTTAATTACCATGAATAGTTAAAGCAGTCACGGGGGGGGGGGGGGAGATGAGAGGAATGACCTAACCCAATTTAAACTATGACAAAGTTAGTTGGAAATGATCACTTTAGATAAGAACTCTGTGCTGAATTTCAGGAGTGTTTGCTCTATTTCTTTTTTTCATGTAGGAGTACTGCTATTTATTCAGCCACTGATTAGCAGATTGAATTGTTTGCTCTATTTCTTTGCAAACATGTAATGGGTATCCTTATAGAGACTGCAGTGGATCTGTTTAATGTTTTGGGGATTATTGACATTTTGACTGTGTTAATCTTTTCAATCCATTAGCTGGAGATTTGTTTTCATTTTCTTGTGTCTTCCTTTATTTCTTGACTTAGTGTTTTGTAATTTTCTTTGTGTAGGTCCTTTACTCCTTAGTTAAACTGATTCAGAAGTACTTGGTTTTCTGAGGCATGATTGTGAACAGTATTGTTTTTCTAGTAACTCTCTCTTTTTTTTCAGTATTTGTACATAGGAAAGCCATGTACTTTTGGGTATTGATTTTGTTACCTGCCACTCAACTATACAAATATATTATTTCTAGTATCTTATTTTAGGTAGGCTCTTGGAATTTTCTAAGTATAGTGTCATATTTGCGGCTGCAGAACATCTTATTATCTAATTCTTATTCTGGAGAACCCGGCAGGCTACCGAAAGTATCCTGCCCGCATGGCAGAGTCTGGCAAGCTCCCCATGGTGTATTCAATATGCCAAAAACCAGTAACAATGATGAGTCTCATTCCTCTGACCCTGAAAGAGCCTTGAATGTGGCATTTTCTAAAACCTCAGGGCTAGGATGAAGGAGATGTTACTGGTTCCTGCTCGAGGAAATCAATGAACAACAGGATGACAGTGATACAGTGATAGTGTCATATCATCTACAATTAGTGAGAACTTGACTTCTTACATTCCTATCTGAATGTACTTAATATCATTCTCTTTGCTAATTGCCATAGCAAATAATTCCTTTACTATCTTGAATAGGAGTAGCAAGAGTGGACAAACTTATCTTTTCCTGATCTTAGAGAGAAAGCTGTTACTTTGTTCCCCATTGAGGATAATGCTTGCTATGAGCTTGTGGTAGATGTCTTTGACCATATTGAGGAAATTTCTTTCCACTACTGATTTTTGAGAGTTACTATCATACATGGGTATTGGATATTGTCAAATAAGTTCTCTGCTTCTATTGATTGGATTATGTGGTTTTATCTTTTCTTTTATTGATATCGTATATTATGTTGATTGATCTGTAAATGCTACACTAGACTTGCATCCCCAGGATGCATCCTACTTGGTTATGGTGTAGGATTTTTCTCATGAGTTGTTGGATTCTATTTGCTAGTATTTTGTTGAGGGTATCTTTTTGTTGAGGGATATTAGTCTGTAATTTTCTTTTTTGGTTTTATCTTAGTCTATTGGATATCAGGATGATATTTGCCTCATAGAAATTGTTTGGGAGTTTGTGTTTCTTTAATTTCCTAGCAAAATCTGAAAAGGATTGGCAATAAGTCCTCTTTAAAGTTTTAAAAGAATGCACTGGTGATTCCATCTGGGCCTGGGCTTTTGTTTTGGGGAAGACTTTTCATTACCATTTCAGTTTCTCAGTTCTGATAGTCTGTTGGGGTATCTCAAATCTTCTTGATTCAGCTGTCAGAGGTTATAGAAATACAGCAATTTATCCATTTTTTCAAGGCTTTCTTGTCCTGTGCTGTAAAAATTCTCAAAGTAATCTCTGATGATCCTATGAATTTCTATAATTTCTCTTGTAATGTCCCCATTTCCATTTCCAATTTGGTTTATTAGTGTTCTCTACATTTCTTTGTAAGTTTTGTTAGTGTTTTATCCATCTTGTTCTTTTTTTAAATTATTATTAGTGAAATAACATGAGGTACAGTTGTAGACTTACCAACTTTTGTGCTCAGGTTTCAGTTATGGGATGGAGCGATAACACAGCAGGTAGGGCATTTGCCTTGCATGCAGCCAAAATGACCGACCTGAGTTCGATTCTTCTGCCCCTCTTGGAGAGCCTGGCAAGCTACTGAGAGCATCTCGCCCACACGGGAAAGCCTGGCAAGCTCCCTGTGACGTATTCAATATGCCAAACACAGTAACAAGTCTCACAATGTTAGTGGGCCCGCTCAAGCAAATCAATGAACAATAGGAGGACAGTGACATCGACAGTTTCAGTTATACAATGGTCGAGTACTGATCCCTTTAATTCTTACTCTGGAGAACCCTGCAGGCTACCTAAAGTACCACCAATGACCCCAGTAGCCCTCCCATCCTTCGAGTTTGAGTGAGAGTTTAGCCGGATAAAGTATTCTTGGTGAAGAAATCATTTCATTGAGTTTTTTCACTAGATGTCACCATTGCCTTTGGGCTTGGAGTGTTTCCTCTGATAGTCTGCTGTGAATCTAAGGGGTGCTCCTTTGTATGTGATTTCCTTCTTTCACCTTGCTGCTTGCAGTATTGTATCTCTATCCATGGCATCCATCATTCTAACTATGATATGTCTTGGAGTGTTTTTGTTAGGGTCTCTTTTAGTTGATACCCTTCAGGCTCCTTGAATCTGGATGCCTGCATTGTCCAGCTCTGGGAACTTTTCAGCAATGATTTGTTTAACCGTGGCTTTTTCATTGGAACTGTTTCCCTGACCTTCTGGTACTCCAATGATTCTAATGTTGTTCCTCTTGGAATCATCCCCTTAGGACTCTGATTCACTCTAGAGCTATTTTGAGGTCTCTTGCCATTGTTTGTTGTTGCCTGTAGGCTTCGTGCAACTGATCTCCAGCTCACTGATTCTTCCTTCAGCTGTGGCCATTCTACTGTTGAGGGCACAGACTAAGTTTTTTATTTCATCTACGAAATCTTTTATTTGTGATATTTCTGTGCGTAGCTTTCCAATTTCTGTTCTCATCTCTTCTCATATTTTCTTAATTGTTTCTTTTATATCCGAAAGTATTTGATATGCCAGACACAGTAACAACAAAGTCTCCAATGGAGACGTTACTGGGCCCGCTCGAGCAATATCCTCCTTTAATTTACTGGATATCTGTCTCACTGTTTCATTGAGTTCATCAAACATTTTCATTACTTATATCTGAATTCTTTATCAGAGAGCTCCCTTAAGTGAGTAATGCCTAATGAGGCTTCTGGACTTTTCATTGTCCTCTCCTGGTGGTGAGGATTTGCACTGTTTCTTCATGTTGGTGTGGTGGTATGGAGACTGAGATGTTACATGAGATTGCTGGGTATGAGTAATTTACCTGTGGCCGCCTGAGTATCTGCTGGGCCAAAATTAGGCCACACCCACTTCAGAAGAGACCACCCCCCTATGGGTACCTGGTGTGTGTGGAGGGTATAACCTGAGGGAAGAAGAAAACCTAGTGAGGCGTTGGGGACGAACAGGAAGAGCTAATTTTTTTTATTTGATTCTGGTTTTAATTTGTCTCTATGTACATAGGTAAAATGATGTTCAATGATCTTCTACCAAAAAAAAAATCATGTTTTTATCCACTTAAAATGAAAGATTTTTCAATTTAAATGGCATTAATATTTATGAAACACATCAAAATCAGAATTCATTATGATAATTTAAAATGTTTGGCTATGTGCTCAGAGATCATGCCTGGTAGTGCTTGAGGCAATCTAATCTAGGTAATGCATCAAGATATGCCCCTTACCTGCTGTACTATCTCTCCAGTCCCCAAATATCCAGATATTATCCTGTGCAGTTCCATGAGTAGGTCTTGAGTTGAGCAAAAGAACTGAAATAAAGTTGAAATTTGTCTCTAGTTATTCAAACCTCTCACTTCTCCCCTGAATCTACACCTTATCTCTACCTGCCATGACTAGTTCATCCATAATCTCTCTCTTTCTACTTGGTACTCGTTCTGGAGAATCACCTGAAATCCTGACTCCATCACAGTTTCTTCTCCACACAAACCCTGTGCCTCCTGATGCTTTGGGTTCCCCTAGCTTTGACACTAAGGCTTTCTGAAGACTCTCTAAACCATCTGTATCTATTTACTTGTAGCTTTTTCTGGTGAGAGAACTTTATGTTAGAAATCTATAAATTTCCTCTATAGAAAACTAATAGGATGATGGAAAATGCAGAAAACCAAGAAATATGGTTAAGTTCCTCTCATACCCTTACCAAAGAAAGAGGCTCTCCACTGATTTATCAGAGAAGATACTCTGTTGTTTTAAGTAACAAAATCCATTACCCAATATATAGCTACTGACTGAGGGCTCACCTGTACAAGTACAAAGACTCTGCCTCCCTTTCGGTTCCTGAGGAAAAGCAAAACCAAGATAAACCTAAGAAGTCTTTCTTCTCCTTTCTATGTTGACTCCTGTATTCTTTCTTTACTGTAGGGCACTTTTAAAACCAGAGCCATGGTTTCTGGAACAATATCGACAAAAAAGAGAGGATCTATATGTGGTGACAGAAACTGTGGAAGTGACCAACAGTCCTCAGCTGCGTGTTGAAAGTGATAGAAAGTGGTTTGGAAAATTCTCCATTCCACAGACCCCTTATATCAAGGTATATATCCTTCTTAATGGGGATTGGGAACTTCAAAATCACAACTAACACAGTGAGGACATGTTTTTTTTTGGGGATCAAAGGGATCAAGTTACTTTCCCCCCACTTATCATGTGCCAAGAAAACCTAATTGAGAAGAGAGTATATTCCAGTATCCTCATGGTTAGGATATTATATGAAAATTATTGAGTGGGTAAAGGTAAATTCTGGAGAATCCAAAGTTTGGAACTTTTGTGCCATATTAAAATGTAATTTTACCGCTTAAAGAAATGAGAGGTCACTAACATGGTTTCTTAATGGTTTAAGTATCCTAAATGCAGTGTTTACCCTGAGCAGAAATATTTTGAATAAAACTTGAAAATGCTTGAGCACACTTGATTTATATCTCATCACAATCACTGTAAGTTTTTTGTTTTTTATTTATCTATTTTGATTTGAAACCAGCATCAGGATTTGCTCAGAGCTTAATTCCTGACTGTGCTCAAGAATCACAACTGGCAAGACTCAAGGTACCATATACATTGCCTGGGATAGAATCCATCTTAACTGCATAGAAGATAAGCACTTTACTTGCTGTACTGTTTCTTTAGCACCTACCCATAATATTTTATTTTAAGAAAACACTGTTGGGAACTATTTAGTCAACACCAACAAAGATGTACTTTATCAAGCATTGTTGCAAAATTTGGATGTTAAATCTGTGGGTTGTATCTGCTTGAAGGGTGCTCTGATTTTGTGAGACCAAGAGAGAGACTCTGAGGGTTTTATTAAGGTTTCTGCTTAGCCCTGTGCCAAGCATCACTCTCCCAGCTCTTCATGACCAATCAAGGATTTGTTAATTTTCATGAGAGTTCTAGGTTAATTTGATCTTTAAGTTTATAAGGACTTCATACTGCATGACCTGATTTCTCTCTCAGGGTCAAGGCCAGGTAACTGGTGACAAGAAGAGAGAACAGTTACTGACTTTACCAGAGAATATGGTGATGGCGTATCAGACAAAGCAGCTGATTTTTAAGAAGGATGGCTGGGGTAAGCTGATGCTGAAGGAGTTGTTGTGAGAGGGACTTTGCTTCTCCGGTAAGGAAAACTATCAACATGCAACCTAGACTTCTTCAGGGAGAAGAAGAGGGATAGAGGAGAAACATTTTTCAGCTGTAAACTGCCAAGCAAACACATATGCTATAATCCAGAGTTACCTTCAAGGATGTCCCTAGTGAAATGTTTCTGTGTTCCCATGGGAAGATAAATTAAGATAGAAAAAAGGGAATCATTATGAAGGTTTCTATAGCTCTGGGCAAATTGTGACACAAATCTCCACTATCTCTGTTTTTTTCAAAGCCCACCCCTCTCAGTGAAAGCCCTTCCTATGTTACCTTCATCCCAATGTTAATACACAACCACAAATAAAGCTGCAGGGGGATAGAGAGATAGCACACAGGGAAGGGTGTGCTGTGTAACTGACCCAGGTTCAATCCCCATAAAGTCAATCCCCTGAGCACTAATTGGAATGATCCCAGAGTGCAGAGCTAGAACAGGCCCTAAGCACTGCTTACATACTCCCTAAACAAATAATCAAAAGGAATCCCAAACCAAACAAAACTGTAGCAGTTGCAATCGTGACCAGGTTCTGTTGGATTTAAAAAAGTCCTAAGATTTTATGACTCTTGAGGTAAAGTAAAAAATTAAATAAGGAACAGGAAGTGAGCCTGCTGTACCAGACCCAAAACTACTACTACACTTTGGGATTGTATCACCCCAGGAACGGCTGCTTGCTGCTTGTGCTGAGAGTAGTAGCTGTGTTAAGCTCATCAAGACCCAAATCTATTTTTATCTTATTGGTTTGTCCTTACTGCCATGCCATAGGTAGCTTTGGTTTATTGGGTTACTGCCATCAGTGTTCCCATTCCTCCTGGTTTATTTGTAACTTCTTTCTTTGTGCTCTATTGACTTATAAATATTGCTTTTCTCTTCTCCTTAAGTCCTTTTTTTGCATAGTTAATTCAGAGCAATGTCCCTTTTGTATGGATACAGGAAGACAGTTAATGCTATGCTTTTGTAAACTTGGGAGTTAATTGACTGAATGATATTCACTCCTGGACATCTGTTCTCTTGACTTAAGCCTCATTTGCCCTTACTTCCTAGCACCCCAAAAGCATGGTCCCGATGAGAAACTGGATGGACCCAGGGCAAGCAGTGAGCTACCCTGGCATCGAAATGGGCCTGGCCAAAGTGCCATAATACTGAACTATAAGTACCTGTATATGTACATACATATTATATAGTATACTTAACTATAAGTTAAGAGCATGGTCATGGACAAATTTTGTCATTATCCAAAAGGTAATAACTAGATTCGGACCCTGCTAGGGTTAGGAATGTTTAAACCAGCCTGAGCACTGTAGTCTGAGTCTGTAGCAAGATGTCCCAGGAGAGCCACCCTACAAACTTAATGTATCCTTTACTGTGTCCATACAAAATAACTAATATTAAGAAGTTGAATTAAGATGTTAATTAAGTTATTGGACTAAGAAAAGGAGAAAAACACCTAGTTGATATTTCCCCTCTTGAGCCTGATGGGCCATCAGGAAGGGTCTTTGATATGTTGATTGATACCCCCAATGCTGAATAGTTGGAGAGAGAGAGAGATGAGCGGGAGAGACAGGAGGAGACAGGAATGAGGGGCAGTGTGAGACTAGAATGGGGAGTTTGGTGAGACTGAGACTGGAACAGGCCTGTGGGAAGAATGGAATAAATGGCAACTGATCACCAACCAGCTTGGCCCTCGTTTCCTCCTTCGTCCGCCCATGGCATGGGCTGTCCTGGGTGGGAGAGTGACAAGAGTCCACCAAACATAGTCAGTGAGAGGGAGAGCCACCAAGGTCTTCCTAGCTGGCCGGAGATTACACATCTTAGTGAATGCTAGTATAAAACTGATGTTCTGGAAGTCCTTCATGTTATGCTCCCTCCTGCCCTCAGTTAGTGTCTTCTGCCTGATACTGATTTGCCAGATTTTCTGTTACTTTTCTTTTTCAGTTTCTGTTTCTCCCTTCATCCCACATTGGTAAAGGACTTCTTCACTTTGGACTTGAATAAGGTTCTACCTTCCACATAGTTGAGTCTCTTTGAGGTGATGCTTGTTGGTTGATGAATTTTCTTAGTGAGATCCCCCTAGGTCAGTGCGGTGGGGGGTTGGGGAGAGGGTGTCCAGGGAAGTAGCAGATTTAGGGACAAGCCTCCATACAGGCAATCAGCCTGGTGTATCAAGGTTTGCTCTGTCTCTGTAGACTGTTCAGATTTCTGAACTCACCTTGGAAGCACTGGTCCAAGAGTTAGCTGGTGGGATGCTCTTCAGTTTTCATAATAGAGTTTCGGACATACAATGCTCCAACACCAACTCCACCACTGATGTGAACTTCCCTCTACAGGTGTCCCCAACTTACCTCTTTTGTTCTGTTTTAATGCATTCTTTGTGTATAAACACACAGGAACATTCACAATGTACTCCTTTTTGATCTTTTTTTTTTTGACCCACCCTTTTCTTACCTCTCTGATTCACCAGGGTCTTTCCTGTTTTGACCACACACTTAGTTCTCTGACATCTCATAAACATCTGGGCCAGAGTGATAGTGCAGTTGGTAGGATATTTACCTTCACATGGCCTATCCAGGTTTGATCCCTGGCATCCCATATGGTCCCTTTAGCTCCACCAGGAGTTATTCATGAGTGCAGAGCCAGGAGTATTACCTGAGTAATCCTGGGGTGGCCCCCAAACAAAACAAAATGGACCCTGCATAAGGCATTCTCATAAACCAACTGATATTAATGAACTCTAAACTCCCTCTCCAGAAATTCCCTCCTTTCATCCTCTGACCCACATAGCCAAATTCCTTAAATAATGTATGACCCTATCCTCATCTTCTTCCTAGAACCCATTCCTCCACAAACTCAGTCTATCTTTGAGTGGGTTTATTCCATGTAAATTGTCAATAATTAGCACAATTTTGATTATTCTTTTCTTGTCACTCTCTTCTCTCTGGAAATCATGATTGATGTAGTTTTCTTTCTTAAAAAAATATTTGACTGGGGCTATGGTGTCGCCAGCAGGTCAGTCTGTACCTGTGAGGCGAGTGCATCAGCAGCCTGATGGTGCCTTCAGACTTCCAGATATCCCAAAATTGCTGCTGTGCCTTTGGCCAGACCCGAAAAACTTGGGGCAAAGTTTAGCAAGAAAGTTAACGGCCAAAAGCTAGGTATGTGGGAGACACACCAACAAACCACCTCCAGCTCAGCTATATAATTGGAGGCATGGACTCTCTGGTTCCTGATTGAACTGTTTAACAGCCATGATCCCAGAGACTCAGAAACAAATCTCAAAACCCAATGGCTTTTGGCAGAAAGCGTCCGGTTCCTACAGTAGGCTACCAGCGCTGGGCCACCCCAGGTGGGAATAGGTTTCATGTCTTGGCCTTTTCCCCCTGGTGGACCAGTGGCTGTCATCCTCCAGAGGCCATTGGACAGTCAGGTTTGGGCCCACAGTGACAAGACACATGAGGCCTCATGGGATGAGTGTGGAGCCGGGCCTTTCCTCCCAGTTCAATGAGACCCTGAGTCGCCACCCACAAATGGCCTCTCTGGCTCCTGATTAAGCTGCTTAATGGCCATGATCCCAGAGACTGAGAAACAAATCTCAAAACCCAGCAGCTTTTGGCATAAATGCATCCAGTCCCTGCAGTAGGTTACCGGTGCTGGGCCACCCCAGGTGGGAATAGGTTTCATGCCTTGGCCTGTTCCCCCTGCCATCCTCTAGAGGCCAGTCAGTTTTGGGCCCTCAGTGACGAGACACATGGGGTCTCACAGGATGGTGGTGGAGCTAGCTCTTTCCTCCCCATCCCAATGAGACCTGGAGTCACCGCCCACAAACAGCCTCTCTGGCTCCTCATCAAGCTGCTTAACGGCAATGATCCCAGAGACTCAGAAAGAAATCTTGAAACCCAGCGGCTTTTGGCAGAAAACTGCCTGGACTGCGCAGTATGTTACTGTTGTCAGGCCACCCCAGGGGGGAAAAGGGTGTTGTCCGGACACCATCTGCCAGTGGCCATTGGACAGTCAGGTTTGGGCCCTCAGTGATGAGGCATATGGGGCCTCATGGGATGGGGGTGGAGCCGGCTTTTTCTCCCCACCCCAAAGAGATAGCAAGTCGCCGCCCACGAACTGCCTCTCTGGATCGTGATGAAGCTGCTTAATGGCCATGATCCCAGAGACTCAGGAACAAATCTCAGAACCCAGCAGGTTTTGGCAAGAAATCCCTCTGGATTTAATTGTTAAAATATAGGAATTTCAAAATCGCGTGGCCACTACTGCAGCCACATGACATCGTATGTTATTCATTACCAGCAATAGAAAACAAATTGTCTACTGTTGCCTTTCCGGCAGATCTGAGTGTTGGGGTAAAATCACAAATAATAATGGTGTGTGTGGTGTCGAAATGTTGAATGTAATCAAAGTATAGAGAGAGTAATTTGGAAATCATCCGCCCCACAGGTAGGGAGAAGGTGTGGGATAGGGGTATACTGGGGATTTTGGTGGTGGATAATGGGTACTGTGAAGGTATGTGTGTTTAATTGTATGACTGAGACTTAAACTCGAAAGCTTTGTAACTGCTTTCACGGTGATTCAATAAATAAAATTATAAAATATGGGGAAAAAAAGTAAGGTGGAGTTCATGCACAATTCAATCAGCCTAATCAGTGGCTGAATAAATAGCAGTACTCTTGCATAAAAAAAATGTGAAACCTTATTTAATCACCATGATTTACAAAGTTGTTCATAATACAGTTGTTCAGGTATTCAATGGCTCAACACCAATTCCACCACCATTGTGACCTTTCCTTTACCAATATTCCCATCTCAGGAAGTGACCCTGCAAAGTCTGCCCCTTTAACAGGCACAAAATAATTTACTTCGTATTGCTTGTTAGAACAGATATCTCATGTGTTACTAAAGTCATTGAAGAATTATGTGCTAGTTGA